CGGGAGGGTCGTCACCTGCGCACGCGCGGGAATTGAGTTTCAAGCGACGATACCAACACGCGCTAAAACGCAAAGGCTCATGGGTAGACGCTTGTTTGTAAACTATATCACGCTATGGCCATCTGACGCACGCGCAGGTGGCGACTCCGCCGCTTTAAGTGGCGTTATACTTGATGAAAGGAAACAGTTTATATATACACAGACGACGTAATATTGGATAATTACGTATGTTCTTCCTTGTAGTGTTATCCACAATGACGACCACATCGAAGGTCAAACCGCTCTACCCAAGAAACTCGTGTACGGTGTTGCTGGTGAGACGCTTTATCAGTCAGAAAGCCCTATGGTAAGAATACGTGAGAACATTAGTTATAAATGACGTCACAACTCATGACATCACGTTTATTAATTATTCATGCGATGTGAACGGCAGGGATGTTGAAATAATTTCCGAAGAATACATTCAGCTGTTGGTGTAACGTGGATTGAAAGAAATTTTGTGATACACTATTTCAATCTCGCCCTCTAGCGACGAAAAACTTCTGTGACGTGAAACAGACGTAGATGCGTTCAAAACCACAACTTTGTGTGGTTGTGTAGTCTTGTTGAATACAGTACATCTCGCATAAACATTAAACAAACAGATTAAAATATCGACGCTGTGAAATGCATTTCTCATCCATTAACGTAACAGAAACGTTAAGTGAGTGACATCTTCGTCAGCGAAATAATCAAACATTTATTACTCTATTCATCATTCCATATTAACGCAATTTATTTTGGTAAATCGACACTGCATATGGATTGTACATATTAAACGTACATCTCATTCGATATCAAGTGTTGTTAAGGCCGGTTACGTGCAGTATAAACCATCTGTAGCGCCGTTACACATCGTGGTTTGGTTCAATTAAAATGTACACAGCATTGTGTGTGCCATCCAACGATGAAGCAACGTTGATAACATGTACTTTATCTTTAGGTGAACCCCATAAGAATGTTTCCTGTTGCAAACGTCAACGAGAATTCGATGCGCCTTGTTGAGAAACATCGAACACAATGGCCAACTGAACGCATAATAATGCAGGTGAGTAATTTGTGCATGCCGTGCACTACGCTCCACTTTGTTATATTACTTCCATCGATCCCTGTGGGTTTTCAGAATTTTCAAGTATTCTTGCTACAACAACGCTATTTCAGAACATTCACTGAAGCAGTCAGACAAGCGCAATCGCAAACTGTTCTTTCTGAAGACGAATCACATATTGATCCTTTTCACTGTTTAGATTCGAGAACGGTGCTATCAGAAATAGTCACGGCTGATGTTACTTGATAAAGAGAACAATCATCGCAGTCGGTCTATATCATTTCTGGTACATTTTGTCACATCAGTTCCGCGAGTCGGCGCTGACAGATGTTTAGTGATGCTTGGATGCAAAGATGCTTAGTGTTTTCTAAACAAACTTTATTTCCTCTTGTCATGTATTTCAGAAACACGATTTGAGAGGTGTACCCGTCTCTGAAGCTGGCTACAAATGGAAAGAAAAACCTGGTAAATTTTGGGTGTATGGCAACGAGCACAAAGTGTACTTCCCGAAGTATCCGCATAACTGTTTCTGTTGTTGTTATTGTCCCTGTACTATCATATAATGAAGACCAGAAAAATAGTCACGTCTTAAAATATTATATACAATACGACTATATTTTGTGAATTGCGCCCTCAATTGTCATCGGTTGGATCAACGACAGAGGGCGCAAGATAGTTTTCACGTTTGAGTCAATATATCACTTTCCTGGAAGTAGCGGGATTGCGGTGCAGAAATACGCCTGCTTTTTCATGGCGAATTATACAAACAAGTCAGTTTACTGATATTCGATAGAAGAGAGTTTCGACTTCCGGGAAAGTGGTCTACGGACCAGGCAAAATATATTGTTACGGGATATCTGGTAAAAACTAAATTTATTAAAAATTATAGTAAAATCAATTTAATCGGATTAAATAAGCAGTATTCGGTTATTACTTGAAGTGATCAAACAAACCTCACGGTGAATATTTTTGATACAATCTCAATGATACGAATCAGTTTAATTTCACATGTGTCACATTTACCAATTACTGTTAGTTCGGAGGATTGCAAGTTATTTAAGATGGCCCAATACAGTTTCACAAAACTCTTTGGATTTTTTTTATATATTTTGTAACTAGATTGCTTATTATACAAGGTTTTATGGGAAAACATGGAGCTTTGGACCTATTTTATTTGATAAATTTGGTATTACTGCATGTGGAATTCGTCGGGTTTATTAGAAAAAAAAAAGTAAAACACGATCCGTTCAATTAGAAAAAAAAAATCTTTGCGATTTTTTAAACGTGAGTTAATGAAACAATGTGTCTGGTACTACATTTTGCAAAAATGAGGGTAAGTTGCCCGTGGCGGGTTCAAAATGGACACGCAGGCGTTTTCTCGTACGAAAACATGACGTTTTATCGTCATTTGTTAACATAGGGCAATTTTTTTCAAAATTGATGAGTTCAACACACTGTTTATTACCTCAAGTTTCAAGTTAGAAAATTAAAATGATTAATTTAGTGTTTTTCGTTTCCCCATAGAGCCCCACATATGAAATACACATACAGTATTATGACATTATCTAAAATTAAGTCCATATCCCTATTTTTTGACATTTTTACACTGTTCAGTAGAGTCCCAACAACCATCCCTAAGTACCGTTTTCTGAGAGTTTTCGGCCTTTGTTTTCACCGTGATGGTTGCCACGCGTTGAAAATGCCCGGATGTCCGTCCGCCCGAGAATACGTAAAATATAAAAAAAATACACACACAAAGACTTACGTGAAACTGTATTGAGCAATCTTAATATAATTACTAACTCATTCACACGTGAGCTGTTGAAACGTGGAAAATTGTCACGTGATTTAAAACTTATATTACATAATATAGTATTTTGGAAATTTGTATTTTTGTATTCAAATTACGAACAGGATTTACACATTGAGCATTCTGAAACGTTTTCACAAACTTGTTATATCGAATCATATATATGTTTGCTATACAGCGTTCAATTACGTCACTTATAATTTGTTATATTCCGTCCTAGAGCCTGTTAGCTTTAGCGTTTCAAATATAATCAGTGCCATATACGGTTTTTTATTCATATTCTTCAGTTGTACATATATTATCAATATACTATCAATACGTCTACACGTGCACAAGACTTAGCACAAACCTCGCCACGTTTTATTCAAAGTGTGCTCCGTCCATCCTTGTTTTATTTTTTTATAATCATAAACCAGGTAGAAAATTCATTTACGACTTATTTGATTATTATTCATATTGTGTGAGA